ACGGCCATCACAGATCTTCCAGCCTGGGAGCCGCTTGGGTACCTCTTGGAGCCATCTTGGGGCCCTCTTGGAGCCATTTTGGAAGCGTTCGGGGCCATCTTGGGGGTCTATGCCGGCCTTACTGGGGGCCTCTGGGGCCTTTTTGGATCGATCCTGCTCTTGGGGCGCTTCTGGGGGCCTCTGGTGCAGTCTTGGAGCTCTCTCATGGGCCCCTACGGGGGCTCTCTTGGGCGATCTTGGAGCCGTCTTGGGGCCTCAGAAGCCCATCGGAAGCGAAAACACGAAGCAGCATCCACTGAACAAGTCTCACGGTTTCACGGATTGGGCCACTTGGGGCGTTCCCGACACGGCCTCTCCTTCGGCACACCTCGCGCCTTCGGCGGCAACGGGCGGAGGCAAGACCGGCGGCGGCTCCGCTTGCGGGAGACCAGCGGAAGGTGACGGAAGAGACGTCAGCATGTTTTGACCCAGGATTCTTGGAGTCGGCCGTTTGGAGCCATCTTGGGATGCTCAAGTTTTAGGGTTCCGGATCGTGTCGCGTCGTCGCCGATCGTCGCTCGCGCCGCCATCGTGTCTTGGGGTTCGGGTTCTTCGGTTCGGTCTTGGGGCTCCCAGTCGTGTCGTGTCGCGTGGTTTCCGTCTTTTGTGTCGTGTTATCGTTGTCGTTGTCATGGTCGTCCATGGCGGTGTCGCCGCCGTCGTCGTCGCCGACATCGTCGGCGTCGCCGTCGACACCGCCGACATCGTCGTTGGTCGCGGCGAGTCGTGTCATCGTCTGAATTTGTCTCTGGTGTGAGCAGAGCAGCACGAAATAGCAAATACTAGTTACGCAGCGTAGAGTTCACAGTATAGCATGGCACAGGCCAGCATAGCATACAGCACTGCAGCCCGTTTAGATAACCCAACATGCAATAGCGCCGGGCAGCGCAGTCTGGCAACAGGACGGCACAGGGCATAGTAGATCAGAGCAGAGCAGAGCAGACAACATCACAAGCAAATGGCCCCGCTGGACACTGGGGTCGGCAGCGGATGAAGAAAATATTGGTTTGTCAATCTTCGTGGGTGTCTCCAAGTATTCGGAAGGCTGGAACACAATTGACAATCGCTGGCTTTCAGAAGTTCACTTTGGGCACGGCCGTCCTACAACCTCTGCACTTCAACGTCCTCTCGGCATCGCCGTCGGAGGCCCCCCCGTGTTCCTGGGTTCTGAGCCGTGTCTTCGCCGCTCGTCGTTCGAGCTGCCGTCGCGGCCCTGGGTTCCGAGGCCGGCGCTTCGGGTTCAGAGCTTCTTCGGCGCGCCGTGTCGTCGTCGGCGTGCGCGCCGCGTCGCCGTCGCGTCGGCAGCGTCGCGGCCGCGGCGGCGCGCCGTGGCGTGTCGGGGGGGGGGGGGCCCAGGCGCCGCACGGCCGCCCGGGAACGCTGGGGGCGGGGAGGGGCGGATCTGGATCCCTGCCATGGATCGAGGTCGGTGGCGAGGAGGAGGAGGAGGAGGAGGAGGAGGAGGAGAAGGGAGGAGGAGGAGGGAGGAGGGAGGAGGAGGAGGAGGAGGAAGGAGGAGGAGGAGGAGGAGGCCCCTTCCCCGGTGGGGCGCCTCGGGCGCCGCCCCCTGGCGCGCTCCGCGCGTCGACCGAGGCAGCTCCGAGCGGGCCTCCAGAGGCCCCGTGCCAGGTGCAGAGGATCGGGGTCGGTGAGGGGAGGGTACCCTGGTGTTCTGCGTGTCTGTGGGGTGTTCTTGGGCATCTTGGGGGGGGGACCCTGGAAGTTCTCTTCGGTCTGGGGCGGCGAAGGGTCTCATGTTCTTGAAGGATGATGTTCTGGCCTGGGTCCGTCTGTAACAGGTGAGCGACGTCGAGAAGCGGGGTCGTCTTCACGGACATTGCCGCTTGAGCTGCCCGCGTGAGTTGGCGCGTGAGCGCCCTCTTCTCCACGCGGTGTGCCACGTTGGCGGCCCGCACAATCCGCGGCGTGAGGCTACTATGTCTTCTCGCGCAAGACCCGTTTCTTTTCATCATCATGTCGAAGAGGTTTCGAAGTGGCTTGGACGGGAGGGCAATGAGAATGAGAAAGCGGGCGGTGCAAGAGCACAGGTGCGAGTAGGCGCAGATAACATGACAGGCGAGTGCCCCTACACGCCTCTGGAGTCGGCTGACTTTGCTGCCTGTCGGGCCACTGCGATTCACTGTTGTGGCCAGGTGCGCGCCCTTGCCCAGTTGCTTAGTAGTTTGCGCTCGCAGGGCATTCACAGGGCTCCCTTGGTGCGCATGCCAAAAAGCGCGCTCGCAGGGCAGCGCTTGCAGGGCACGCGTGCGCAGCCTGTGGCTGCTGACTCCCATGCTCTGCGGGCGTGCAGGGGCCCGTGCAGGAACGCGGTGCGGCGCTCTTCGGCACGCGCACGGAGAGGAGACGCGGCAGCCCGCTTCCCCTCGCCCTCACCTCCTTCGTCCTCCGCCGAGCACGCAGGGCTTCTGTTCTCAACGCTTCGCGCATCCCCACCGCACGGGGGAGCTGCCCTTCTCGGGGGAGCATGGCATGATATCTGGAGAGCTCGGGGAGCCCCTGCGGGACAGAGGCCTGCTGGATGCCTCTCGGAGTCTCGCGGGGTGTCCCTGGCCGCCGGCCTTTGTGTCTCCAAGAGCCGCAGGTGTGTCCTTGCCCTACTCCCCCCGACTCCCCCCCCCCTTCTCCAGCCCACTCCCCTCTCCGCCTTCCCCTCTTCTTCCCGCCCCACATCCCATCTCATCTGCCTCTCCTCTCTCTCTGTCTCAGTCCTCCTCCTGAGCCTGAACACTCCCTGAGCGCAACATTACTCGTGAGCCTCTGCACGGCTTGACCCGTGGAGTGGAGGCTGGACGTATAATCGGGGTTTCGATGTATTGCCGTTCATGTTTCACCGTCTTTGGCTTAAGGCTTAAACATTTGTCTCAGTTGCACATCGCCCGGGGAATATGCTCGAATGGTAATGTGCAGACATATTTGTTCGCACAGCGATGAGCGATGCGGTCTGATACGATCACACATCATTTGAAGTCAGCATTGTTCACACCAGATTGTATCATGATCGCCTCTTCTAGTCATGTGTTGCAACCACATTTTTGTTTAACACACTCACGTTCTTAGTGATTCGTCTGTGTCGCCAAACCATGGCGCAGTTCACATGTCCAAGCATCAGCGTCAGCATCATACTGGCAGCGAGCCTGACTGCCAAGCGAATGTCACGGCGCACCTGGCATTCCCTACACGGGACGCCTTCTGAGCGACACCAGCGCCGTTCCGCACATCTCCGCTCTCCACCTCATCTCCGCTCTCCGCAGAGCCATTTTGGCTCAAGGCCTCTTAGACCAGCCAGCGGGCCCTCGCACCAAGAGTCTGCCGCGGACAGGCCCAGCCGACTGGGCCAGACCGCAGGGCGAGGGCGCGCTGTTTTTGAAACCCTCTGTTAAATTGGCTGACGACCGCCGCCGCTGCGCAACCCTCTCCAGCGGGGATCTTGGGGGCTGCCTCTCGCACGCTACCCAGCAGGCAAAGCTTGTAGCACAGGGGGCCCGACGAGTGAGTTCGCGCGGGCATGGCGCAACGCAAAACACGGCAGCGTTCTGGCTGATGCAGCCCATTGCCAAAAGCCTTGCCCGACGCAGCCCATAGTCATGGCGGACCCGTAGGCACAACCGATGGCCACGAAGAGTCTTCATTCACGCGGCCGCAACTTATGGCGCAACCCATGAGCGAAACATAGTGCGACGACGATCCCCAGACGCGCAGGCGCAACCCATGGGCGCAACTCGCGGCCGCGAAAAACCGCGAAGGGTCCGGTTCGGGCCAGTTCGGCGGCGGGCCATTTCGGTTGCGCAGGCTCGGTTTTGGCGGCGGGCTGGTTCCAAGGGTTTCGGTCTTGTGTCTAGTCGTTCGGGCTGGTTCGGACGGTTCGGTTCGGGCCCCATCGGACCCCAACCCCACCAGACCCCACCGGACCCCACCGTGCCTCACCAGCACCCACCGGACCCCACCGCACACTTCCAGACCCTACCGAACCCCACCGCGCCGCATCGGATACCACGGAGCCCCACCGAACCCCACACCCTGTTCTGGACGCAATCCAGACCCCACCGGGCCACACCGCACCCCACGTCCCACCAGACACCATCCGGCCCCACCGCACTCCACTGGACCCCACCGAGCCCCCGAGAACCCACTGGACCCCACGGGGCCCCCACCGGACCCCACACTCCACCAGACCCCATGTGGGCCCCACTGGCCGGGCCAGAGCCCACCAGATCCCATGGACCCCATCGGGCCACACTGGGCCAGGCCCCTTCAGGGCCAGGTCGGTGAATTCCAGCCAGTTCGGTTCGGCCCGTTCGGGCCGGTGTCGGCCCACCGGTTCGGCCCGAATTCGTTGGTCCAGTTCCAACCGGTTCGGTTGTAGGGTTCCAGTCTGGCTCGGTGACAGAAGCCGCTTGTTCATGGCTACCAGTTCAGAGCCATTGCAAGGCCCAGTGGCACGCATGCCCAGCTCCTCAGTTCAAGCAAGACCCCCCGAGTGCAAGCAAGCACGGCTGGGGAAACATCCAAAACGTGCTTGTGGGATCTGACACGCCTTTGGCCGGTTCGGCCAGCGAATTCCCTCGCCCGATTTTGTTTTATCATCTCGTGTGAGACCATGGAAGGTGACGGTTCCCAGCGGGGCAGGGTGTGCAGCCTTTTGACAGAGAGTCGAAGCAGTTGTTTTGTTTATTTGGCAGGGGATTGGCCCTTCTTTGAGCGATTCCGCATTGGAAGAGTTCATGAATGTCCCTTAGACAAGTTATAGGACCCTAAACGAGTATCGCTGTTTGCTTCTGGTTGCTAGGCCAGGGAGCCGCGGATATAGTCCAAGAGCCGCCAGGATACCTCTTCCGGCTTGGACGGCGTCGCTAGGTTATCACTGGCCACTTGTCCGCCAACCCCGCTGAGAATCGTCGCTTGAAATGGTCTCATAAGCCCATCTCATTTAGAACGGCGGTATGGAGAACCCCGTTTCGAATCAGGGCGTTGAGGTAACTTCTTTCTCTTCGGCGTCGAAGTACGTGGCAGTGTCACTCGTCGCCGTGATCGTGCTTGCTGTGGACGAACTGAATCCAGTGAAGGTACTTTGTAGCTACACAGATGCCTTGGTGCCGATGCGGGAGAGACACCTCGCCATGTTCGCAGCGTTCCTGTTGTGTCTCACAATGGTCCAGCAGAAGAAGCATGTGCTCTACTACTCTTGCCGGCTGTTCTTCCGGTGTACATTCAACAACATGTTTTTCCGCTCCGTGGAAATAGTGGGCGCAGAGAACATTCCCTCGCACGGACCCGTGATCTTCACAGGAACCCACAACAACCAGTTCGTAGACGCCGTCTTCCTCCTGACGACTTGCCACAGGGAGATCAATTTCATGATCGCCAGGAAATCCTGGGACAGGCCCCAGGGGTCCCCGAACCACATGCGCGCGGCAAGCAACGCTCGGCATCTCCGGCTCTTGCAGACGCGTCAGCGGGCAGCACGACGGCTTCTCCAGGGGCCCACGCTTGGCCGAAATTGGCGCGAGCCCCCCCGACGGTGACCCCAGCATCCCGAAAACGACAGAGAGTGGACGACAGTTTCGTCAGCGCTCACGTGAGCGAAAATTGTCAGGTGTCCGCGGGCGGTTTCTATTCTGAGGGTTGGCCCCCCTCCCCACACCCCCTGCTTGGGAGATGGCCGGGGGCCAGCGAACGTCCGTGGACGTGGAGGCGTCTCTACGTGTGTGGTCTTCCTTCGGTCCTCCGCTCCGCAGAGGGCATCCACGTGGACACCACCACCATGCCTGGCCGAGGACACGCATGGTGGTGGTGTATCGTGTATCGCGTATGGGTGACTTCAGCCTATCCAGGCCCGTCGTCGGGCACCTCGCCAGGGCGTTCAACGCCATCCCCGTCAGCCGGCCGCAGGACATGGCCTTCTCGGGCGACGGGCGGGTACTTTCCGACGGCACCGCCTCGCTGAGAGGCGAAGGCACCCGCTTCACGGCGCAGGTGGAGCCGGGCGCGCAGGTGAGCATCAAGGGCCACGAGGACCCGTACAGGGCGAGCGGGAAGGGGAGAAAGGGGATGTCGGCGGCACGCCCAGGAAAGGGGTGCGGCGGGGTGCGGGGGGGGGGGGGAGGGGGGGGGGGCCTTGGGAAGAGGCGGGGGGCTTCCGAGAAGGCCGTCCCCCTGACCCCGCCCCCCGGTGCGCGCTGCCAAGGGTGGGTGTGTGGACGCGGGCCCAGACACGTTCCGCAAAGGAGCGGGCAGAGACAGTAAGCTGTTCTTTTGTGTGGGCACCTCGGAGCCCGCCGCGTCGCGTCTGGCCTCGAGGCTGTCCAGAAAGCAGCCCGTGATGAGAGCCCAGACCCCGGGAGGGGATCGAGAGCTCAGGGAACCCATGTCACGAAAGTTGCACGGTGTCAGAAATCTGGGGATCGGTGGGTGGGAAGGGGCAAGAGAGGGGCAGGAAGGGAAGGGTAAGAGAGGGGCTGGAAGGAGAGGGGAGAGGAGGGGGAGGGGGAAGGGGGAGGAGAGGTGACAGCCGTGATCTCGGACACCGAATTGCAGTTGGCCTGCGCCGTGAATGCCAGCGCGGATGGCGGGGAGACGTACAAGGTCTTTCCAAAGGTAGACCAGTCCGAGATGTACGATGCCGTCCACAAGGCTCTCCGGGAGGGAAAATGCCTCGGCATTTTTCCAGAGGGCGGCAGCCACGACCGCACGGACCTGCTCCCCCTGAAGCACGGCGTGGCAATCATCGCCCTGGACGCGCGCAGCAAGCACAGCGTCCAGGTGCCCATAATGTGAAGGGCTCCGCCCTCAGCCGCCGTCACCCTCGACGTACGCAGAGCTTCTCGAACATTGATGGGCGGGCATGACGCACAACTTGCCATAGCAGCCGCAGCGTTGGAGCACCATGCAGGAACAGCAGACGATCTTGCCTGCACAGGGTTGCCCCCCCCACTCGCCAGGCCACGGTTCCGCCGTGAGGCCGATCGCAAGCTCAAGACTTGCCGTCAATTCCAGCGCGCTCTGGCGCTCGCGGACAGCACTCTCGCCGTTGGCCGGCCCACGGCCAGGGCAGGTATGCCGGGCGGACAGCAAAGGGTAGGGGGGATCGAGGATTGCAGGAAAGGGTCCCTACAGGGCCCCTGAAACTGCCACCGCGGACTCCAACGGTGCATGTTTCTTCGCCCCGCACGTCTACACGGTCGGGAACTGTTGGTTCGCGTGTCGCCCTGCCGGTTCTGGCCTACCACGCTTCGGCCCGACACGCCCAGGCGTCAACATCGGGAGCTTTTCCCAGTCCCCCGCCACGCGGAGCGAAGCGACGCGCTATCGGTTCGCCAGGCATGCCGTGTCGCGGGGGCCGCCGCCGCGACACGCTAGGCCAAAGTTCCCCACCGCACCGCTCCCCAGTTGGCGAACGCCCGAATGCGGAGAAGAGCGCACCTCAGCTTGGCATCGCTCGGACGAGTGCATTTTTCTTTCGGCGAGGACCATCGAGGAGCATCCTTGATCATTTGGCGAAAAAACCACGCACGAAACCAAACAAAAACACAGGGACTGGACGTCCGAGCGATGGCCAGCCAGCGCCGGGTGCCGGCGCACAAGCAGCCAGAGAGTGCCAGCCTGCGGCCAGCAGTGGCACTCGGCGCACGTGCGCGCGTGCTGCTGGATGCGAAGACGAGAACCTGTCGCACAATCACGATCGGTTCGCGTCCTGTCGACGCGGCGCCGACCCCAGCGCGGGCGTGTAAGGTTGAACGCTGCCGCAGGTCCAGGATCGGCCCATCGGGAACGGCTTGGCGATCGGGCGGCCGCCGAGCGTTCAAGGTGGAACGATCCGCGCGGAGTCAGAGACCAACACCGAAGCCGTCACGACGCGAACCTGCAGTATACAATGTGGGAGCTCCGCGCAGGCTTCTCGGGCCCGCGCTGTGCCCCCCCGCCCTGGCGCGCGGAGCTCCGCCGGGGTGCCTTCGCGCCTGGGAGGGTTTGTCTCGGGGGGGCGCCTTGGCCAATTGGGGCCGTCTTGGAGGCGCGTCGTCGTCTTTTGCTCGTCGTCGTCGTCGTCTTTTGCTCGTCGTCGTCGTCGTCGGAGCAAGCCTCCGTCAGATCCCAGGCAGCATGTGCCCTGTAGGAGCCACGTCGGGCCCTCTTAAGGGCGCCCCGACCCTTCGCCGACGGCCCCTCCCTCCGCTCCCGCCTCCCGGGTGCCCGGCGCGCCAGCCCCGCGAAGTCCGCGCGGGGCTCCTCCTCCTCCTCCTCCTCCTCCTCCTCCTCCTCCTCCTCCTCCTCCTCCTCCTCCTCCTCCTCCTCCTCCTCCTCCTCCCCTCCCCCTCCCTCCTCCTCCTCCTCCTCCTCCCTCCTCCTCCTCCTCCTCCTCCTCCTCCTCCTCCTCCTCCTTCTCCTCCTCGTCCTCCTCCTCCTCCTCCTCCTCCTCCTCCTCCTCCTCCTCCTCCTCCGCTGTCGACGGGAGGGCCGCGCTCCCACGGCCCCGTGGCTCCCCTGGGGGGGGGCCTGGCGTGTACCCGTCGGGCTGAACTACTTCCGGGGGCACCGCTTCGGCGGGCGGGCCATCGTGGAGTTCGGGGCGCCCACCGCCGAGGCCGCAGAGGGGGCGCCCGCTGCGCTGTTCCCCCGCCCCCTCCCCCCAGCTCTCCGGCGATCTGACGTTCCGTCGACCAGGCGCAGGTGCCACGATCTCGGCGTCTGGGGCCCGTTCTCGGGCCCCAGGACCATCAAGCACGGATCCAGGGCGAAACAGTTCCCCCCGGGGGAGCGGTCGGGACTCTCTGGGGCAGCGGATTGCAGGAGCGTGTAGGCGCATGTCGGGGCGCCCCTGGATGGCTCTCCCCATTCATCTCTCGCCGGCCCGGGGCCCAGGATTTCGATGTGAAATCGGTGATGTCTCGCCGATTCCAGGTCGATGTTTCCCCACCTGAGCCGGTCCCCCACTAGCGTTCCTCCTCGGGATTGAGGATCATGACCCTTGAGATCAGGACACTGCGACCCAGGACCTTGAAGCTTCTGGCCAGGGAGAGCAAGGGCGGAGAGTGTTTGAGTCCACGGCTGCAGTTCTCTTGAGCGCGGCAACGTCTTGGTTTGGGGCAAGTCCCCGTTCGCGGGGCCCTCTGGGCAGGTACGGCAGCTGCGGCGGTCAGCTGGTGTCGGCCCCGCCGCCAGGCGCTTTCCTCGATACCATGGCCGCCTCAGGCGCCGGGAAATCCGGGTGCTGAGGGCTGATTCGCGAGCCTCGCCGGCTCTGCGCTCCTCTCGTCCGCCCCGAAGGCGGCCCTCTGCTTTCTCCGGGGAGCGCCCCGCCCGCCGCACCTCCCTCCGCGCGTCGCCGGGGAGGGGCGAGCAGCAGGCTGCGCGGGCGTTCGAGCGTGAGCCGGCGGCCTTCGCAGGCCACCGCGTGGGGTCTTCGTGTCCTCGTGCCTGAGGCCCCCCCCCCACGCCCTGCTCCTCGCCGGTCGGGCGGGAGGGGGGGGAGGGCATAGGTCAGAGCCCCGAATCATCAGGGGTAACTCGGGTCAGGGCTAACTCGGGTTCGCTTTTCGGGATTCCGAACCCGAGTTACCCCGGGCCCGAGTTACCCCGGATAATTCGGGCGTCCAGAGCCCCAAATCATCAGGGGTAACTCGGGTCAGGGCTAACTCGGGTTCGTTTTTTCGGGAATCCAAACCCGAGTTACCCCGGACCCGAGTTACCCCGGATAACTCGGGCGCCCAAATAGGACAGTCGGGGAGCTGAAGAAGGAACCCTTTTCGTTGGGGAGGGGCTCGGTGTTCCTTGGTTGCTTTCCAGTCTGCCTCGGGTTTTCCTCGGCTCTTCCATGGGACATCGAAGCTTGACTTGTGGGAAAAAGGGGCCTCGTTCCTTATGTAAGGTTCCTCAGGTCAGCGCCCCTATACTGTAGGGAGGGGCAGCGCAGTGGGTACGACTCCTTGGGGCCCTGGCCATCCACATCCCAGAGCGGCTGTACGCGCAGGCGGAGCAGGACAAGGAGAGCCGGAGGGCGGCGACGGACGAGCTGCTGCGGATGGTCTCCGCGGGCATGCGCAGCACCATCGTGCCGACGCCGGACTACAAGTTCCTCCAGCAGATCTACATGCTGCGCCGCCTTTACATGAGAGAAGGAGTTAAGGTCAGCACAGGGCGCACCATGGACCTCAACCGACGATTCGCGCTGGGAGTGACCAGGATCGCAGAGCTCGCCGAGGAGTCGGGGAAGGGCGGCGAGACGGACGATGGCAAGCTCACGCCAGAGGAGAAGGACGTTTTTTTCAAGATCAGGGACGAGTTGTTAAGGTACATGTCTGACCTGAAAGCCCTGGGCCTGCGAGATCACCAAGTCAGGCACATCGGGTGGTGGTCCGTGAAAGACTTGCTCAGCCAGCTCGTCTACTTGCTTTTCACCGTTGGTGTCGGCGCAATCCCGAACATCCTGTTCAACCTGCCAGTGATAGCCATCTCCAGAAGGTGGGCCGTCATCGAGCAGGCCAAGTCGCTCAAGGCTTCCAGCGTGAAGCTGGCCGCCCGCGACGTGGTCATGTCGTACAAGATAATTTACGTGCTCATGATGATACCCATCATGTATCCAGATGTCTGCCGCCTCCCTCCCCCCGCACCCGCGCCAGAGCAGCAGCGCCACCGTGCCAACGCTGCGCAGCTATCCACAGAAACGCGAGCAGACAACTCCATAACATCGTGGCCCGTCTGGGGGCCATCTTCGGAGTTGCTTGGGCCGTCTGGGGGCGATCTTGGGGGCCTCTTCGGCCGCACTGGAGCGTCGCGCCCTCCTGGGGGGCCTCTTGGGGCCTTTTTGAGGCGTCTTATGCTTCCTGGAGTGCACGACAACACGCCCCGAACGTGCGGAGGGCATGGTGGCGGATTTGTTCTACGCGTCGCTCCTGTTCTTCCTGTCGCCCTGGTGCACGAAGACGATCGTCCTTCACCTCCTGAGCTACCCCTGGTTTGTTCGGTGGCAAATCATAAGGGCCTTCCTCGACACGCCGTTTTTAGAGCGCATTCGGGTGCGCTAGCGTGCGGTAATTGGCGAGAGAGCGCCGAGACAGCTTCGATGTCGCGTCGATCAGCGTCGACTGGACTGGCGTCGGCTAGCGTCGGTTCGCAAGAGCCAGCAAGATGCCACGGGAGGACCCCATGAGTTTTTTTTTCAGGAAGGAGAGATGGAGCGAATCACGAACACACGCTCGTGTCCAGAAACGTCCGGGAAGACGTGGAGCACGGAGGGGCAGTTGAAGCCCCAGGAAACATCTGAGACGTTGGGAGCGGCCTGGAATATATCTGTATATATATATATATATATATATATATATATATTCCGGATTCCATATTAAAGTAGGGGGGGTACATTTGGCGGGGGGGTCTGATTTGATCTGTCTTGAAGGGTTAGGGGGGGGGTCTGGGCAAAGTGCCGCCCTCTCATGGATGGTCTGGGGGGATCTAAAACTTGTGGTCTGGGAGGATTGTGACCCCCTCCCTTTTATTACGAAATCTGGAGTGTGTGCGTGTGTGTGTGTGTGTGTGTGAGAGTGCGTGTGTGTGTGAATGTGTGTGTGAATGTGTGTGTGTGAATGTGTGAATGTGTGAATGTGTGTGTGTGTGTCTGTGTGTGTATGTGTGTGTGTCGACTCCTTTCTGTGCCTCCCAGTGGGCCCATTTGAGGTTCGCGGTGCTGGGCACGAAGGCCGCCGAGCAGGGCGTGCGCACCTACGCCGACATCGTGCCCATCTGCCGGCGCCTCCGCCCGAGCACCGCCGAGGCCTACGAGCGGCTCCCGGCGCAGCGGGCGGCCCTGCAGAAGGGCCTGTTCCGGGCGATCAAGATGCTGGGCCCTCGGCTCCTCGGGGGGAGGGGCAAAATGACATGTAGGCCAGCATATCGTTGGGCCGATCCTTTTGTACCCATCCTCGTCCCGATGCCCCTCCTCCCGCCGCCCCAGTCTGGGGACATGCCCCTCGAAGCCCGGGGGGAACAGCTCAACATCGTTGGACCGATCCTTGTTCGGGTATAGCCAGGACCCCGGGTAAGGGGACCCGGTCAGTGGTAGGGCCCTGCCATGGGGCCCCTCAATTGGCCAGATACACTCAACCAGGTTTGCCGTAACTGGTGTTTTTCGGGTGACGGCAGTTCCGGTGGGACGGGGGGGCGCCCCCGGTACAAATCGCTAAAACAGGTCCTACTAAGCCCAGTTCTGCCAACGCCCATTTTGTCCCCATCCTCCTCCCGATGCCCCTCCTCCCGCCGCCCCAGTCTGGGGACATGCCCCTCGAAGCCCGGGGGGGAACAGCCTGATATCCCCATCTCTATAGGGGGGTCAAACTGCCAGGGAGGCCCGGGCCACGCCCGTTGGTGATAGGGATCGGTGAAACGACGATCAAAAGGGGCGCGACCTTTTGGATAGCGTGTCGCTCCGCTGGTTCTGGCCCACCACGCTTCGGCGCGACACGCCATTATTTCACAGTCTCCGGGCTTCGACGTCCCCAGCTTTCCCGAGCTTCCCGCCCCGCGGAGCGGAGTTTACACGCTACGCGCTCGCAAGGCATAGCGTGTCGTTTGGGCCGCCGCCGCGACACGCGAAGCAGAAGTTCCCGACCGCAACGCGGCGGCGAAATCCGAATCCTACCCTCGCCGATCGACGGCTCAGGCAACTCGGTGGGCGGCGGGAGAATGGTTCAGAATTCGTCGAGCACGTGGCGGAGTCCGAACCCTGCCACCGCCTCCCATCGAGTCAGGAGAATCGATTGCAGGTGGGGGCAGAGTCCGGACGTTGCCACGCAAACAGATGGCACAACATTAAACTTTTGCAGGTCCGCGCGGACCTCGCGGATCGGCGCTGGAGCCCACTGGCGGCGCCACCAGCGCCGCCCCTGTCGCAAGGAGCGCGTCAGGGAGGGGGAGGGTGGATATGTTTATCTGATTTGTTGTTCCTCTAGGCTCGGCGACCTATACCACGCAAAGGAGGTCGACTGGCTGAAGGAGATGGGCCAGATGAGCCAGCCGTCCCTGAGCAGCCCTTAGGGTGGCCCTGATCCGTCGGTCGAGGGCTCGATCGGGCTGCTGGCCCATGTCAACCGAGTGGCACCTGGGCGGGCGATCGTGCCCTCGATCGGGATGGTGCTCATCGCTGTGAGGTGGGTGGGGCCGGCCGCACATCGAGCTCGCTGCGTGCGTCTCTCCTCGATGTTGTTCCGAAATGGGCACTGGCGACCGCGTCCGCCCTGGATAGAGCCACGCTTCGGGCGACGAGCTCTGCGCATATCTCCGGTGCCCCCGGCCAAGCCCCTCGCTGGGTCCAGGAGCAGCACGCACGCCGGACCTCCCTGGCCAAGCCAGGAGGGCGTGGACACCGCGCCGGGTCCCGGGGTGGGCCTGGCCAGCGGCAGGCGGCAGTGGGCGGGTACAGATCTCGTCGCCCTGGCCCAGTAGCGCGGGAGTCGACTACACGTAAGAGTGACCTTTCGCCGGAGTGACCTTTGGTGCGCGCTCACTGGGGTCCCCCGATCGCCGCGCTCGTTGCGATATTAGCGTCTTGCGCGCTTGTGTTTGGCCTCCTCGCGCCCCCCGAAAAAACCGCGCACCAAAGGTCACTCTTACCCAGGGTCACCCTTACGTGCAGCCGAGGGAGGGAGAACCGGGTGGCCTCGGGGATGCCCACCGAGAGCTCGCTCCAGAGCTCTCACGGAGCGCTCCGCACTGCTCTGGAACGGCCGCCCGGCCCCACACCTCCCCAGGGCCCGCGGGATCTCGGAGGTCCCGGGGTTGACCATGCCCGATGCTGTCCGTGTCCTGCCTTCGTCTTGGACTTAGCGGGCCCTGGCAACGTACAGGGCCGTTTGTTTACCGGTTCCGCTTTGCCGTTCTTTTGCCGGTTCCGACGCCGTTTCTTTTACCGGGTCCGTCGCCGTTTTTTTGACCGGTTCCGGCTCCGGTTCCAATCCTGGAGCTTTTTTGTTTGCCGTTTCTGGTCGCCGTTGTTTGCCATTCCCATTTTCAAGGGACATTCTTCTGGAAACGGTGAAAAAGCGGCCCTGCCGCTTCCGGGGCCCACTAAGATTTTGGATGGGGATCGGCGGCGAAATCCGAGCCCTACCTTTGCCGATCCACGATTCTGGCAACTCGATGGGCGGCGGGGTAGGGCTGGAATGTGTCGAGCACGTGGCGGGGTCCGAACCCTGCCCCCGCCTCCCTTCGACTGAGGAAAAGTGGTGGTTGTTGGGGGATAGCGGGGAGAGCGAGGAGATCGGCACTGGGATGGGGAGCGGGGAGAGCGGGAGCGGAGCTCTTTTCAGTTGGCTGTGTCGAGATCGCGTGAACGGCACTGCAGTATGTAAGCAAGGCGCGCACATCGGGAGAGCGGGAGAGCGTAGGTTGCATCTTCGGGGGACCTCGTCTGTCCAAAAAATTGGCCGACGCGGGATCGATGCGGACCCACGGCGGCTTAGGCCTGGATTCGACGCGGATTCGACGAGCGCGACATGGATTCGACACGGATCCGACGCGGAGAGGGGCGCGACGGGATAGACAAGTACCCACGAGGATGCAACACAAGAGAGCGGGAGCAGCGCCAGTTGCAGCAGCGAGAAAACGGAGGAGGAGGAGGAGGAGGAGGAGGAGGAGGCGCCGTGGCAGCAGCATGGGGGGAACAGGATCATCCGCACGAGCAGCAGGGGAAGAAGCAGGAGCGCGAGCATGAGTGGGAGCGCTGGGGGGGAGCGGGAGGAGCATGAGGAGGAAGAGGAGGAGGAGGCAAGGGAGGAGGAGGAGGAGGAAGAGGAGGAGGAGGAGGAGCGGAGGGAGGAGGAGGAGGAGGAGGAGGAGGAGGAGGAGGAGGAGGAGCAGCATGAGGCGCATGAGGAGGAGGAGAAGGAGGAGAGAGGAGGGGGAGGGAGGAGGAGGAGGAGGAGGGAGGAGGAGAGGAGGAGAGGAGGAGGAGGAGGAGGAGGAGGAGCCGTGGCAGCAGCATGGGGGGGAACAGGAGCATCCGCAGGAGCAGCAGGGGAAGAAGCAGGAGCGCGAGCAGGAGTGGGAGCGCTGGGGGGGAGCGGGAGGAGCATGAGGAGGAGGAGGCAAGGGAGGAGGAGAGGAAGGAGGGAGGAGGAGGATGAGAGAGGAGGAAGAGAGAGGAGGAGAGGAGGAGGAGGAGAGGAGAGGGGGGAGGGGAGGAGGAGGAGGAGGAGGAGGAGGAGAGGAGGAGGGAGGAAGCGCACGGGAGGGAATCATTTCGTGAGTGGCATTGACGAGCGTGTGCAAATGTAGCAGCCCTCTATGTGGGGCCTTCAGACTGCAGAGGATGGTCTCGACAGGTTTCGACATAGGAGGAGGAGGAGGAGGAGAAGGGGGGGAGGAGGAGGAGGAGAGGGAGGAGGAGGAGGAGGGAGGAGGAGGAGGAGGAGAGGAGGAGGAGGAGGAGGAGGAGGAGGAGGAGGAGGAGGAGGAGGGGAGGGGGAGGGAGGAGGAGGAGGAGGAGGAGGAGGAGGAGGAGGAGGAGGAGGAGGAGAAGCTCGGGCTGGAGCGGGAGCGGGAGCAGGACGAGGGAGGGCATCGGTAGGAGCAGGAGAAGCAGCAGCAGCAGCAGCAGGAGGAGCAGCAGCGGGAGGATGGGGGCGAGGCGTCTACAGGCCAGTCGCCGATCAATGGAATACGTATATGTCGGGGCTCTCGCTCGAGAGTGGGCTGCGTGTCGCCGCGCCGTTTGTTCCGACGCGAGGCGGCCACCAGGGCAAACGCCGCCTCGGGCGCGATGGGCTTGCCGTTGGGTTTGCCGCAGCGCCGGCGGCGTCTCCTTGGGCGTGGGGCGCAGGGTTTGCCGCGGGTTTGCCGTGGTGTCGGCGTCTTTCACCTGGGCGCGTCGAGGACAAGAGGCGTGGTGACGCGCATGCTTTCACGACGAGGCTCACGCTGGAGCGCGGGCTTCGTTCTGAATGCGCGTCGCTGAAGGCCCAACTGCAGCAACAACGGCCCTCGCGTCAGGCTTCTTCACAGTCTGCTCCCGCCTGGTACCTCCTGACAATGCCCCAAACTGTGCCTGCACTTAGGGTTCTTATGTGCCTTGTAAGGGGTCGGGCCCGTGTGAGGGCCCGGCGTTCCCATTCCCGTCCGTCGCCGCACCAGTTATCCCAACAAAGGGCCCGTCTGCGGGCCTGGTGGCCCCGTTCCCGTCCGTCCATCGCCACCATCCCCCCAGTTCGCATCTCAAGTTGCGTGTTGCATTGTTTCGCATGGCTCTGCATCGCATTACATTGTTTCGGATTGCTTTGCCGTGCTTAGCAATGTTTTGCATTGCATTGTTTTGCATCGCATTATGTTGAATTGATGTGCTTCTGCATTGAGTTACATGGCTTTGCACTGCCTTTCATTGCGTTGCATGGCTTTGCATTGCATTGCGTTAAATTGTTTCGCATTGCACTACATTGCTTTGCATTGGTTTGCATTGCGTTTCGTTGTTCTGCATTGCTTCGCACTGTTCCGCATTGCTTCGCATCGCATTCAATTGCGTGACATGTGGTTGCTTCGCGTTGTTCTGTGCCACATAGATTGCAACAAACTTTTTTATGTATGCATACATATATATATATATATATGTTTTGGATAGAGGTTGCACCTCATCGATTGCACCACCTAGATTGCACCCCATATACCGCAAGAGGCCACTGTTTTGGGTCTACTCTGGTTAGCATTTACCCGCCCGTGGGGGCCTGCCCGCCCGACCTGCCCGTGAGGTCACAGCCCGCCCCGTCCAAGGTCCCGCCCGCTCTGGTCCGCCCGACCAGGTCGTCTGAGCCCGCCTGGCCGACCCGCCCGTTATGGTCCGCCCGCCCGACCCGCTTGTCCTAACT